CCATACCATACCACGGCTATCAGAGCAATCCCGGAAGTACGGTCAAGACCCCTACCAGCACCTTACTGAGATACATCCTTCCCCCGAGTCTCCTTCAACTCCTACTCTTGCGAATCTCCACTCAAGCCAGCCAATTAAGGCAATATATTATTATGAATGTGTTAAAATTAACAAATCTAAATGTAATGTTTAATGCCCGTGCGAAGCCGGGACGGGCCGCTAGTAATATTATAAATGTGAAACTAACTATGCATGTCTGTCTGTCTGTATTTTCTTCACGCCTACACTACTGAATCGATTTCTGTGAAATTTAGTACAGACATAGTTTGGAACTCGAAAAAGGACATAGATTAGTTTTTATACCAAAAATCGGCAGGAAGTCTACTATTAATATACTATACTATACTAGGAATATACTATTTCACGCGAACGGAGTCGCAGGCAAAAGCTAGTTTTACAATAACTAAAGAAAATAGATTTATGTTTAGATTTATGTTTTTTTGTTAAATATTGATTAAGAACAGCTCAAGTGAGGAATCCTTCTTTACATGAAAAAAGTCGGTGGAAAAACTAAAACAGTGTCTACTGTCTAGCCCAAGCAACGGCCGAGCCTAACCTTTTAACTTAACGATGGTGGTAAGTGGATAAATTGTAAGTATTGTGCAGGTTAAGTAACATCCTGTAGCAGTTTGAAGGGAGGTCTGTAGTTATCTGGATAACGGTGGGTGATTGGCATAATTACTGAGTCAATTTACTTTGCGGCTTCACAATTAGTAGGATTCATTCAGTTGTTTTTGTCTATCCGCGAGGTATTACTTCATTTTTTATTATGGATACTTAATTTGGTACTATGTTTAAAAACTTAATAATTCAGAATCCTATAACGAATGCAAATGGGTTACGTGTTCATCGTGGTCTTCGATATTGAACCGAAAAAGTTGTAGATAGGATGATTTGGTTTATAGATTCTGTTCCCGTCACATCATCAGCCTATGAGTGCTGAGCAAAGGCCTCTTCTCACATGGAAAAGATGAGCATTAATCATCACGCTTGCTTAAGGCGGATTGGCGACATCAAAGTTATAATTAGAAATGTACACTTTTATGACGTTTAGCGTTCTCATTGACTTGCCCCAATATCACCCAGCAGCAGTAGAAGACTAACCCTGGTAACTTTTTGATCGTGTTTACATACTATAAACTCAAACTAGATTCTCTGAAAAATGTGTAGCTTAATCGATAATTCATTGCTTTCACTAACACTACAATTCCGCTTGAATAGCTGACAAAGAGTACGTAGAAACATCAGTTTTAACAAGGAAAGTATATTAAGGAGCTAAGTAATAAGTTTTAATTATTCATTACTTGAACTTACAAATGTTTAATTATGCATTTCCTTCGCTTGACTTTTCAAAGTTAGTCCTGTGACAAGTCGAGTGGTTCTGCAGTGTTTGCAGACATTTTAGCCGCTTAAATAATACTGGATTAGAGAATGGAATTCATGACTATTTGATTTTGTTGGCAATGTGAAATTAAGACATTGATTTATATAAAGTATTATGTTCTCAGTTAATTGTAGTTTTTAGGTTTTTATACTAATCGTTGATAGTCATTCTTTCGCCATTCAAATCTGAGAAAAATAAGGCACATTTTTTATGGGAAACGTCGACAAACTGGCAGGCGGATTACCTGATAGTACGTAATCGGCGTCGCCAATGGACACCCACAACACCGAAAAAGTAACAAGTGCCTCGCCGGCCTTTTAGGGAGAAGGGTTTCGGGTACTAAGGATTAGGAAGGAATGGAGGGAAAGACAGGGATTAGGCCTTCACGCTGGTTTTCTGTAAAGCCGTGCTATCACTCCATTTTCCCACATTTTACAATAATTTTCTTAGAAAATGCCAGATGTCGCTGGGATACATTTTTATTTTGTGTTTCTTTTTACCTGAAATAGGCGATTTGGGATATGTATATATTTAATCTCAAAGACGAGGTATAGCGAGTACGAGCTAGCAAGGAAGCGAAATTTAAAAGATTAACAATTCACAAGTATACTCAACCTTTGTTTGTAACATTATCACATCACATAATTAGCCTATTACTGTCCACTGCTGAGCAAAGACGTCTTTTCGCGTGGAAAAGGTTTAAGCATTAATCATCACTCTTGATCTAGGCTATTCCATTATAAATTAAAAGTCCAGATTTCCTCACAATGTTTTTCTTTACCATAACTCAGTGGCATTTACACAAACACAGAAAAAAAATCCACATTGGTACTTGCCAAGTTTTTGAAACAAGTGCCTGAACCTTCGGTCCACCACAACAACTTCATAACACAACACTATCTACCTATCGTGAATAATGAAACTAATTATCTGCTTATTAATTTACTGAAAAAGAACAAGAATGTCTTGGAGTTGTTACAACAGACTTGGAAACTCCACTTTGTTTTGATTTGACGTGATCAAATTACCAAACAAACAGTCGTGGGAATGAGTGGCATTAATAAATTCTATTTATAGATTTCTTCGTGTACACGCGAGCTTCATAATGCTTTATGGAGTTCGGTGTAGCATACATATCCTTGGTTGTAGAATATAATTTTCTTTTTGTGTATGGAAAATTATCACATTGCTCCCCCTGGCCTGGCTAAGGCAGGCGAGAAGTAAGATTTTTCCTGACTAAAAACCAACCTGTTGTAATCTTGCTCACAACATTGCAAATAATGCACTATTTAGAATAACCTTATTTAGTTTAAGGAAATTAAAAAAAATATAATAGGTCAGCAAACGAGCATACAGGGAAGCAATCGGGGTCGCCTAGAGACATCCGCAACACGGAGGCTTTACTCCGAATTTGAGAATTGAATTCGGGGTATGGGAAGGATCCAAGAATGTGATGATTGGTGACTTTTAGCTTGAAATCTTAACTTAATCTACTATCCGCAATGGAAACTGTCAAACCTAATATTTTGTTTTTAATTTATAAAACATTTTGAATGAATACTCGTTTGAAAATTGCGCATTTACATTTCCGCACTACGTCGCGTCGAAATAGTTTGAGATCATAGATTTTTCACCGTGAAGGTTTTTATTATAATATCAGACTCAACTGCCGAATAAAATCCTACTCCAGTGACCTCCAGATCAGCTGGTTGTAACCAACCTGCGTCTGGCGAATACTTCCTCAAGATTCAATGTACATTCTTAAAACCGCACAAACACACTTTAAACGATTTCCATTTCCTACTGACTAAAGAAAATAAACAATTTTATTTTTCATTTTGCTAGCACAAATCAAATTACGACTGGGGTCAGCTGTAAAAAGATCATAAAATATCAGAATAAACGTTTCCATAACAAATATCAAATCACATTTCATTACTCCATCTTCCGTTTTGTAATGATAAACTGTAAAATATCAATTAGCGAAGTCGTTTCAAGAAATTATTGTGTGGCATGCAATTTCAACTTTAATGCGATATAAAAAAGGCTTGTACTTTATTATAATATAGGAGTAGTGAGTATAAGGCTTAAGTTCAACCAGAGTAGATACAGCGGTCTTACTAGCTTACTAAACCAGCTAAGAAGTGAGGATAATAACCAAAGGACCAATTTTTTGCCGATCCTATACCTGTGATATTTTGCTTATCGTAATTTTTAGAGGATGGAGATAGAAAATTATCACGTTTTTGTGAAAACGTGACAAATGTATGTATGTGCTTAAACTTTTTATTTCTAAACTTCTGAGTGGCTTTTAAATCTGATAAAGAACAACAACAGATAAAACGAACAACAACAACTCCAAGAGGATTTTTAGACGGCGGAAAATCATCAAATTACTTAAATGTAGCTCTGGGAAGGGCGAGAGAGAGTGTCAGACTCTTACTGACTAAAAACCACCCGTTTCCTTCTTCTGCTCCAGGCTGAGGCCACAATATCTTATTACGCGGACTAAAAGGGTAAAGGAATTATCATATGGAATTATAGGAATGCTTTTAAATTCTAAGTGTGGGAGAGCCAAGCTTCGACACGAATGGGTCGGCTCGACCGGAGTAATACAACGGCCTCACAGAATACCGTCGTGAAACAACCACAGCGTTGTGTTTCGCCGTATGAGTGAGGTTACCGGAGGCCCAATCCCGCATTTTCCCCTATCCCTTCCCGATCCTTATATCCGCAATCCCTATAAAAAGGCCGGCAACGCACTCATAACTCCCATGGTGTTGGGGGTGTCATGGGCGCCGATTGGTTACCATCAGGTAATCCGTATGCTCGTTTGCCGATATATACCATTAAAAAAAATTCAGTGCTTACCGTTTCAGTGGTATGGTATAAAATGATTACCAAATATGGTATATAATAATTAATGGTATAAGTTTACGTTTGTACTTACATCTTTTTTCTGTGTAAAGGAAATAAACTACAACAATTGACCTACACGATTCTTTTGAAAAGAAGATTTTTGTAATCGAAACATTCTCTGACTTGTATAGATAGATACTCAGATATTTTCGTAATTTTAACTTAAAAAGATACACGTGCCATGTCAACGCTGTTTTCCTCGAGCAATTTTATTATTACCCACAAATTGTGTTTTGACCTCGAAATTGGTACAGTCATGACCTTGGAAATACGAGTTATATGTCAGATTCAGTATTTGAGTTAGCACAAAAGTTACTTCAAGGATTCAGAGAACTATTTTATAATATGTTAGGGAATCGGCCCTTTGTACGTGTGGTATATTCGTATATTTGTTTTATCATCATGATGATGATGATCAAGATGATCAGGTTTGCGGGTGCACAATCACACGTAATAATATACCAGAGCCTGACTTGATGAGGGAGAAATACAGAGATGATTTTTAGCCAGTAAGAGTCAGACACTCACGCTAGAGAGTCTATTTCTTATCGCTCGCCGCCGTCCGCAAATGCCCTATCCCGTCTTCTCAACACTTACATATATTTGTTTATGACTTATGTTATATTATCTTTTTCAGTTTCGACGTGCGGGGTCGTTCGTTTAATAAAGCACTGCAATGGTCAGACCCCCTTGCGTTCGGGCCCCGAGCCTACTTCGCGACTGTGGCCCGCCCAGCCGCGCTCACACTCGACACCGTCCAGCTGGACGACGAAGGCATCTACCGATGTCGTGTCGATTTCAAGAACTCGCCGACACGAAACTTCCAAATACGCCTCTCTGTTATAGGTGAGTAGATTCAATTGTATTTTTTGCTTATCGTGGTGTTGTAGCTAATCTGCTGAATCGATTTTGATGAATTTGCAGATGTATATTATTTTCGATAAAAATAACGTATACTCTCGTTATACACCTTTCTTACATTTTAAACAAAAAAAAGAAATACGGTTTGTTTTAAAACATTCCTTCTACCAATGAAATTTTCATTACATCTGTAAAATATGAATAAAATATAAACTCGTTTCAAAAGAACTCGTTCTTCATATTAAAGTCTTTCACAAATACATACATATCTGGATCTGACAAAAAACAAATGAGCCACTTGAGAATTTAAATAAAGTTCTTAGCAACAGACGTACCTTAAATAACTGCAACAAAACTCGGAATGCAAAATAATAAAACAAATCTAAATTGGAATGTTGACATGAAAAAATTGTATCAGAAACGTGTTCACGGTTTGCGCACAAAAACAATTATTTCTCGTGTTAAAAACTACTTAAGCCAGTATAACTAACATTTTCAATTACCGTCTGAATATAATTGGCCCCTAACGAGTGAAACAGTTTCACAAATAACTCTGCCGCAAAACGTCGACCCTCGAAACTAGAATGGGAATCGCAGCAGATGTTCGCATTCCCACACTGAAAAACTTTAGCGCAAAATGTCTGCTCTATGCTGAAAATTTATAAGAGAACCTTATCTAAAAAGCCAGCCTTTCAGCGGCTTTCGCCAAGCGAGCGATGCAAAACAAAGCTTTGTTAGAGCTCCTTTGAATTTCGGTAAGGAAAATGAGAGGTTACACACGACCTCTACCCCGTCAAAGAAGCTCGGAGTGTTGTTATTACAATAATGTACTGCGATATCACGTTTGGAGTGGCGGCGGAGGCGCGGCGGCGTTCAGCTGACGCGGGGCCGACGCCCGCCGCGCTATCTCGCTGCTCCCCGAACCCTCTAAATAACTGGCCTAGCCACAATAGTGCAGGCTTAGTCACCCTATTCTCAACTTTATTATTTGTTCATCACTCCAATTGAAACGTAAACCCCTAATCAAAAGACCTATTCAAAGCATTTCAATACTTTCACATTTCACTGATTTGATTAATGATGTGCTATCTTCATTACTTTTCAAAACAGATTTTTGTTTCAGCCAATTAATCGTGTTATTCATTTTTGCGCAAGTTTTTATTTTGTTATTTTATGTTTATTTTGTACGTTGTTAAATCCATACAAAAAGTAAAGTGATTAACCGAGCTATGTGTGTGCTTGCCTACGTGTGTATCAGGCTATAGGCGGGCAAAACGCGGCATTGACTAACAAAGTGATTTTATTAACTCCACTGCCCTAGTACGGCGGCCGGCGTTGCCCGACCCGAGAATTTATTATACCTCCCTTATCTACATATGTTTATCGTGGAATTTTAAATTGTAAACGAGCTCCACTTGAAAATACCAGTTCAGTTTCCGCATGAATTTACGCTACATTTTGTTTGGCGCAACGTATATTTTGCATCAAATTATAATGACCACGATTCATTCGATTATGCGATTAAAATATCAAGTGCGTGCTGGCCGCAAATTATGACACTTATCAACGTTTTGAATGTTGGTCAATCAAGTTTATAATAGCAGAAGCGTTGGTGAAATCCCAGCGTTCGTTTGGAGCTCATTCAAAAATCATTGCAGGTAGCAAAGTGGTCAGCACAGCAATTGGTCAACTGGTAGCTCTGGTTCATTAGTTAACGTTTAGCGAGCGGTGCAATTTATAAGGTCGGCGATGTAATGTGTTTGTGTCTGTATAGTACGCGGGCCGCGATCCACTTCCGTACGTAATTCTTTCCTCGGCCGGGTTTTGAGTTAAGTGAAGCAATATGTAACAGTTAAGTGGGGGTTGCAGCGGCGCTGTAATCGTAAGTCATCGCCTCAACGACCGCTGTGCCACGCCACAGTATTGCACAGCAAACCAATATTTCACACTGTTTAAACAAAGGCTCTTTACGAGTTCAGATAACTACTTGAACACATGCATGTACGAGTAGGTTGATTACGTGAGCAAAATGTCTGCTGAGCTTGCTAGAACGTGTAGTTCAAATGGTAATGATGATTGTCTTGCCACGAACACTAATCTCCGGACTGTTCTCTGTTGCGGTCTACCAGGAACACGCTGCGCCGAGGACTCGACTCATGATTGACAACCATAATTAAGAGAGCAATATCCTGTTTCATTCCACAGTCCTTCGCCTAAATAATATTCAGATTAACAAAGTTAGAACCAGATACCCATAATAGCTGCGAGAGAATGAGGACAGAAAAGTTACTTACATTCTTACGAGAACTGAAAATAAATTCGTTCACAGAACACGGCCTAATGGAAGTAGAAATGTGCCTAATATTGTTCCGAAGTTTCGGCTTCTAGATCAAAGTTCCGGACAAAGAGCTTTTGAAGGTTATATAAAAAGGTAGCAGTCAGAGGAGACATTCCGTAAAGAGTTCTGAATACTTTTGTGCATTGTTTGCTCCTGTTTTAATATAATACATTTTGTTACTTGCTATTTTCCATGTAAATAGAGCCGTTGGAACTCATTAGGAGTGCGTGAGACGGTTTATTGTTCCTTTGGTGTTATTTCGACAACGCTAATGAGCATCCACTTAAAAGGAATCTGCCAAAAATTTGTTTGCGACTCAAGTATCTGTATCCGTCATATTTCGTGGGAGTAGCTGAGCACTTCCACAGAAACACGCCCAAGTTTCAACTTTGAGAAATGTGATTATGTTGCGAACTTTAAGTGAATTGCTTTACATGAACTTGTGAAACTTAATTGTTCTAATATAAACGGCTTAGCTGTTAACTTTGCTTTTGTACAATCTGACGGTGATACTTGGGGACAACTTAACCCATTTTTCATTTTAAACAAAAGTAGAAAGTGTATAAACAGGAGCTGTCCTAAAAACCCTTAATTTTGTTAACAATGAATGTTAACGAATGTAATACAATTAAAGCCATATTGGAGAAAACTTGGGATTAGCAAAAACGAAACTGAATATAACTTGGCAATTATTGCGATACAATATAGCGAAACCCTTTTGGAGAGCCTTCGAATTTCTGGAAAACTTCCTCGAGCCGATGTGGAGACGACAAGAATATAAAAAGCAGCCGCCTAGTCGCGGCTCGACGTGCGGAGAAAACGCCCGCCTGAATTAATAAGTACAACACGAAATTTGAATTTAATGAAACAAGTTAGAAGCAAGCAGCTGAGCGTATATCGATCTTACAAGAAATGTACCGACGAATAATTCGCGGCGTTACATGCCGTACCGAGGTGTCTTTCATATTTATGCTAACGCGAAAGTAGGTGGCAGGGTTTTAAAACTGTGTACCTTTTACTGGCTGCCATATATTTTGGACCATATATATCCGACATGCTCCAGTCGTCCATAAATTTTGGTTCGACCATCAATCACATGTACCTAAGTTTATGACACAAATATCAATATACTTGCTATAGCACTTCTCTTAGTACTTTATAAATATCATGTTTCATAATTATTGCTTCCTTCAGAAAAATAGATTTGATCTAGAATGTTAGGTTAGGTTATAAAGACTGTTAGTTTAGTTTAGTTAGTTACTGAACTTTTCTGATTAGTAGGTTTTTTACGTGATAGGCCGGTAAACACTGTTCATCTGATGGTAAGCCTGGTGTTTGGAGTAATGAGTGCGCAGCTGATCTTTTGGGGTTAGGGTTTTTGAGAATTGGGGATTTTGAGATCGTCGATGGGTGAGAAGATTGGACCGTTGTGATTGTTTCACGCTGCTTCTCTTTGAGGTCGTGATGTTACGTCAATCGAGCCAGCCTGGTTCAACTGTATGTATTTCGTATGTACCTAAATCTAATATCAAAACTGTACATGTCATTTTTCCATCTCTCCTGAGCAAAGGTCAATGTCAAAAACAATTATTCCAACTTAAGCAAGCGTGAAGCTAGCGTGATCCTTGTAGGTTTGGTCAGAACCAGTCGAATAAAAAAGGAAAAAATAAAGTATGAAAAGTAATGTATAATATTGCGACAATATCTACCTATTTTTTACTGAAAAAATCGCTTTTAAGAACTAAATAGTAAAGTTCAAACATTTTCACCAGTAACATAAATAGTTTGTCAGCTTACTTATAATAGTCAGTTCGTATTAAAACTCTGGTTTATCATGACATTTGCAAAATACAGTTCAATACTGATTCACAGTGATGTGTGTAAAATATTCAAACATGTCATGAATGTTCGATAGGTTAAATAACCAGCATATACATACGTTCAATGCTGAATTGCACAGCGTTGAATACCACGCTTGCTCAAGGCGGATTTGTAATTTCAAACTTATATTTAGATATTATAAGTCCAGAGGTGTTTAAATGATAAAAAGTACGTAATACATGTAATTTGAAAAAAAGTCACATTGGTTCATGTCAGATAAACTTAACTAAATAAATAAAGGTACACGTCATTTTGTTTCAAATAATTTTCCAGAAAAATGTATCAAAACAATGTATAAGTATTAAATCAATACATAATAACACGAAATAAAATCCCTTGTCACAATCTCTGTAGACTATGTACCACTTACTAAGTCACTTATTGCGAAACATTTCCAAGAAAGAAAATAGACTAAAAATAATGTGTATGAAAGAATAAAAAAATATCAAGTCTGAAAGCTAGTATTAGTTTAATTTATAACACCAGAATGTAGGGGCAAATTTTTTTCTTATTTTAGGGAGTGTTGAATGTCGTAAAATTACACAAACACATATGTAGTTATGTTAGGTAGATAGATCGTTACATCGCCACCATAAACCATAAATTTGCCATGGATACACACTACACAATTCTGACAAATTATAGTACAAACTTATTTATTATTATTTATTATTGCTTAGAAGGTACATTTTACATTATAAAAAGTATAAAATGTCCAACAAAACTGTATACACAGTTTTTCTGTTGGATCAGATTTCTAAACTATTGACTTACTATAGGTTCTATTAAGTTTACAATAATAATAAAATTAATATATTAGTATATATTAGTATTATATATGTATATGTGTGTAGTATAGGTAATATATTAGTATTATATATGTTAAGTTATATAAGTAGTATTAGCAGGTTAATATTAAGTACGTAAGTATGAAAATCAAAGATTAGATAGATATAATCGGAGTATAGATATAGCATAAGTAAGAAAAGTAGTCGGTAGTTAGGTAGTAGTAGTAGTTAGTAGGATAGTAATACAATAAAAAGTTAAGGCAGTGTACTGAGTAGGTACTTATCTTCGTGAGATTTCTAACCCATACATACATACACAGCTGGAGTTGCGGGGTAGCGTCATAAGGTAAGTACCTTGGCATCGGCCTAAAGCGAGAAGGAATGGGGGCGCTTTAGTCAATAAGAGTGACACTCCTTCTAGCCTTATACTGGGCGAGAAAAATCATTGAATGACTTTCCACTTTACATAACAACTTATCTGATATACATAAGTAATATAATACAATACGTACGTATTATAGTAATATTACATTTTAATCATAACAATGTCTAAATGGCTCTTACAATTACTAGACTTTCAAAGTCCTAAAACGAATTTTATTTATCATGGACCGTAACATACCTTTTTTTCGTTCTCTATCAACAACATATGTACATATCTACAGAATCTCTCAGCGTAACCATGCCCAAACCATGTACAATACAATGTACGTGGAAATTAGCTTCAGACACGGCATGAGAAAAAAGAAAATCCTTGATACTTTTACCCCGAATACTTCTCTTCGAATATAGACTAAACATGATTTACGGGACAGTCGGCAGTATAGGGTTCAGCTGGTAACCCTACTATAAAGAGAACTATTTGTGTACAAATAGTGTTCAGCCGGCCGACGGCTCGACCCATCGACAGGCACTTTTACAACCGCTAGCGTGTTGTGGCTAATGCATAATTCAACAGCTATAATTTCAGCTGTAGTCTCAGCTATGCGATTTATCGTCGCATCAAACGCGTTATCGCACAACGGAGACCACGCGAATTGATCGTATCCAATGTTCCTTTATGATATATGATTCGAAGTGGACAGGAGAACGAGCCGATTGTAAAACATTATTTATAGCTTGTAATGATAGTTCGACTTTATTTATCGTCTTGAGTGCTTGTTATACTCAAGTATGTTTGTTTGTAACTTCAAAAGAAAAATATTAACTAGCTGGCAATCTGATACTATATTTTACAACCAAAGAAAACATCGCAGTAATTAGTTAGGGCAATGAATCAAAAGCAAATTGGCTGGCAATAGTCTACAAAACAAACGTCATATCGACGCCAACAGTCGTGTTTAATTGACGCCGTCGCCTATGAAATTCCGTTTAAATTGGATGTTGTTCTGTCGGCCAACGATTCCGCTATCGAGGAGCAACTTGCCGAATGGTTGCCTCCATAGTGACTACTAACTAGCCAGGACGGGCGGCTGGCCGAATTCCGGCCTTTCGGGGACGCGGGGGGACACTTTCGTTGCCAATAGTGGAAAGGGCCGTAATTCGGTTTTGCGGTGGTCCCTCTTAGTACGTGCTCTAGAACTATTGTTTTGTTTATACGACCGTAATTAGTGATGTTTGTCATGTTACGTTAGCGGTTTTTGAAGTGTTTATTTAGACGCACTACTGACCATTAATTTTGTTTAGCAGAATGTTAACACGTGGAGAATGGCTAGCTAACATGCGGTTACGAGGGCAGCGTTGTATGTACATCTTAGATACGTTTTTATAAACTTTTATGTGCTAGTCTGTACTAGACTTGTGTTACGATTTACGGGTAGGATCTTTGCTCCAGGGAAGACTCGGGTTTCCTCCATTTACATAGTGATCTTCTGTATTTTACACTGCTTACGTTTAACATAATATTACGTACATATTCTTTTGGAATATTTTACATTTAAGCAAAGACCAGTGGCAAAGATAAAGGTAAATGGAACCAGTGATATCCATTTAGTTTTGAATCATTTGTCACTGGGTTTTCGATTAGTCTGTATGGCTTTTAAGAGTGTGTACTTTATAAAACAATGGTGTTTCCAATTAGAATCTTCATTCAAATTTGTCGACAAAAGATAAAAACCCGTTTTATGTGATAGGTCGGCAAACGAGCAGACGCATTACCTGATGGTAAGCAATCAGCGCCGTCCATGGATACCCGCAACGGAGGAGGGTCGGCAACGCACTCGGCGTTGCCGACCTTTTAGGGATTAGTATTTTGGAGATTTAGGGATTGGGAGGGATCGGGGGAGGGAAAGGAATGGGCCTCCGGTAACCTCATTCACACGGCGAAACACAACGCTGTGGTTGTTTCACGCCGGTTTTCTGTGAGGCTGTGATATCACTCCGGCCGAGCCGACTCATTCGTGCCGACGCATGGCTCTCCCACACCCAGTCAATCCATTTTTCAAATTTGAAAAAATAATTTTATAAAAAAAAAAATTTTATTCGTCCGTCAACCAAAGGCGTGCAAACAAACATTGATTTATCAATCTATAAATTACAAAAGCGTCAAGTAATTACGTAGTTTAGATTAACGCTAAATATCACCACCCCTAACATCCATTTAGCAGACTATGCTTATCAATGGGGCTTGTCCCAAAATTCTTGGTCCCATGTTTTTGTAGCCTTGTGAACCCGGCTCAAAGTGCCGTCGTCAGGGTGGCTTCTATTGTCGACACGGCTGCATTATTCAATTGATAGCATATATTAGGCGAGGTTGGTATGTAATACAAAGCGTTTACAAGTGATAGGGGACTCTTGGTCCTTGTATCGCTAAGTGGGGGCGCGCTTTTCCACAATCTTGTTATAGGAGATGTGGCCACTGAGATTGTTTCCTTCATGCATGTTTGGTAAAACAATGCTTTTAGTTTTTTGGTCGGCCATGTTTTACGTTTAGTAAGCGACCATGACTATGGTTTTGTTTTGAATTTTTATACAGCTTTATATGCAAATACAGATAAGACTACTTTCAAAAACACTATGATTTATGCTAATATATGAAGGCACTGGGGGGTTGGTACAAACATCAACAACCCGATCATCGTCTTCACATTCCATCGCAGGGCGTAGGATTTTATAATCAGACCGAATAAATTACAAAAATAACGGACGTCGGCGATCCGTCTCCTATGACAGTCACAGCGCTCACTCTCCACCATAATGCGCACGCAGAACTGTCAGTTTGACGTTCCGCCAGAGTACGATTTATGGTACCCTCGTCCGGTGAATTGTGATAAAAACCTCCTTCAAAATTCAATTTAAATAATCGACGCTCCGACATATATTATAATTGTAATGTACTTAAAAATATATTTTTTAGTTTTATGAAAAAGCCTGATTTGCTTAGAAATAAACACCGACTAAGCGTGAGCGGGGCAACACTACGGTCGCGACTGTCAGATGAAAAAAACTGTTTCGCGCGCTTTGTGCTGTAAAGTTAATTTCGTGTATCATTTGATTGTTCACAATATATCAATGTCTTTTGATGATAAAAGTACCAAGTATCAAGTACAATCTAAATAATTGTAGTACTTATTTCTAATATTTTGAGATAAAATATATGTATATAATAATCTTCAATAATACTAATAAAATGGAATAACGATATCCCATCATATTAGCTCTCGAAGATACTAATAATCTCGGCAGTTCATTTGCTTTTCTTTATGTCAATATTCTATTTGCATATCTACGTAATGAGTATTGTTCCTACATTCATATTGTCTATGGCTCATATTTATGTCGTTTATTTTACGTTTGCATTCGCTTTTATTATTCCATTCTATGCTTTGTGGTCTTTGTATCGAATGTGAATACATTATTAATGTATTTATTAAAGAACTTAAAGATATCCACAATATAATAAAGTAACATGTTTTTTTAAATAAATAAAATCTGTTATTTGATTCATATTTTTCAACACAACTATAATATTGGGTAAAAACTCAACATTGATTTAAATTTTTATAACTGCATTCTCTTTTTTGAAATACGAATTGGCAGGTTTGTTTTTTAAATTGGAATTTTTTGAAGTACAAACAGCTGGTGTTCCAAATTTAAAATGCTCCAACCAAATGAGAAGCGATTTAGTCAATCTCCATCACATAGACAATCATTTTTTTTTAATACAACATAGAGGAATAAGTATACTCTTTTAATTTTGCTTTGTTTCGTATGTTGACGATTCAAAACTCGAGACTCAAACAAACATAGTTGTGAGCACACGTCAAGTGTTCAAATTCTCAATGAAACTTCGTGTTTACTTACCAACAAGTCTTCCCGTAATATAAAGTACGATGCAAAGTAAGACACTGGATACAAAGTTCATTATCAAAAATTAATTTAAGTATGCTCGTAGATATTTCCGGCATTATTAATGGTTTGTATTATTTTTTTAAAAGAATTCCATTCTATTTTCTTCCGCAAGTGCTTCTACGCTGTTCATTGATATTTTAAATAAGTATGATTGGAGGTTTAGGGAAAAATTTGCACGTGTTTCTATTCATTATTAATAAATTAGATCATAAATTTTAATATGTGTATCTAAAAATAAATGCTGAAAAATAAATCATTATAATTAAGTATTTAATATGAAATGGTATTCTATTTCAGAACTGTGATGAATACAAATATTTAATTAGGTTTCCAGTAACAAAAAATAGTTTAAAAAGTTTACATATGTATGTCTATTTTTTAGCTAATACTCAGTGGCTGTATACAGTTTCAGTCGCATCAATGAATGAACATTAAAAAAAAACGAAAAATTGGCGCGAATATTCCAGCTGTCAAATTATAAAAAATAAAAACCATATTTTATCTCCGTAATTCGTTTCGTACACTCACCATTATGAAATATTTTACGTACGTATGTGTTCAAATATGTGTGTCTTACGATTTAATGTTTTGTTATAAAGTGTAACATTTAAAATATCGTTTGTTGCAGTACCGCCACATCAGCTAATACTATACGATAAGTCCGGGAGGGACGTGTCAGGAGTCGTGGGACCTCTGGAAGAGGGCAACGAGCTCGTTCTCGTCTGTGAGGTCAGAGGAGGTAAGATCATTTTATTATTTCATCCTTTTGTAAGTAGTATAAAAAATGTTGATTACCTGTTTTTTAATTCTGGAATGTATACGTTGCTCGGGTTTAAAAAAATATTTTCTGTACTTGTTTACCAGTTAGATACATACGAAGATCCATTTTCGGAGACATGTATTGAAAACATACCCTATAATATCAATGACGTATTATATATAGACACGTCATGAACCAACATCGCGGCGCTTAAAAACGGCGAAAGTACTAGATAACTACTTCTACGAGTAAAGAAAGGGAAAGAAAATATGACATCGTATAGTACAGCCTTTGCTAGAGGGAGATAAATATACATCTTCAGTTATGCCGACGGCACGTGACTATACCTTCATGCGCCGGCCGCCATAAGATGGCGGGCGCCGGCATCGAAAAAAATAAAATAAAAATAGGTTGTTTGGTGAACTTACGCATGAAATGACAAATTTTTGTCTTTAACTTTTGGAGTATAATTTGTACATCGTCTGAACACACACGACGACATGCTTTCTTTATGTTTCGCACAGGTTTACACACGATATAAATTAAAAACAAACGTAGCGTCGCGCGGCAGGATGGTGCGTAACTAAGCGCGATGTTGTCAATTGCCTTCATTTCATGTTGTCATTTTAGAGCGCGGACAACGTATCTATAGTTTTATACATCATTGTATAATATCACCCATACTTAATTTTGCTACGCACACTGGGTCTTATTTCTAGTTTATGAGCAACGTGACGCGCATGCTTTTTTAGCGAGGGGAACTTCATCAAATTCCATTTCCCGCCCAGGGTGATGCGAGAAGTGTCAGACTCTTACTCACTAACCTGCCCCCGTTCCTTCTCCTGCTCCAGGCCGAGGCTCCAGGTGATGCCATATAGCGCCCCACAACCTCGGCTGAACGTCAGCCCTAATATAGTCTATTGGCACTATGAGGCATGCGCAGAACGCAACGCGCTGGTTACAACGCGCGGTGAGCCACCCTTTAATCGTTGTCCGCATACCCGATCAGACTGTGGCCGGAGATCATCTCTCGATCCCCGAGGCCAAAGTGTCGCCTTCTGCGGCGGCTAGGGTATGAGGACGATAGCTACCTCACGCGATCCACCTTCTACTTTTCAAGCATCACTGCTTCGCAGAAAGAGGACACGGCTTCCCAGTTCCCATCGCTCCGTACCATGGCTTCGAATAAGGCTCCCCTGAGGACACAGCGGTGCTTAGCCTAGGCAGGACACACCGCTAACATATGCTCCATCGTGTCCGCGTCGCGCATGCTACTCATGATTAAGAGTCTCGTTGTGTCATTACGCAATTTTTCATCGTTAGCCTAAAAAAAATATAAGTCCAGGTTTTCTCATGAGTTTTCCCTTCACCGTTTGTCAGTGGTGTCTAAATATACTAAGAAAAAGACAATGCTACTCACAAATACAGTCCTTACATAACATCTGTCAGATAAATAGTCATTACAAAGATACAAAAATATAATTTTAAGAGACCTTGAATCTCGAATAAATATAATATTCAAATGAAACATAAATCTGTTATTGATATTCCTCCTGGGGCTCATGAAAGTATCGACTTTCTAATTTCAATTTATTTCCAAATCGTAATGGATCACGTCATAGGGAAAATGTTAACTTAAAAAAAATTGAGGTACAAAACATAATGAAAGAGCGGTATAATTATACAAATGAAAATAAATTGTCCGTTATTTTAATAGGGTAACGAAGAAAAATAGGTCACTAGTCGCTTCGTTAATGTTTTTCTAATTTATTATGGTGCAAACATTTTCTTGTATGGATACTCTTTGCTCTGAACAAGAAATATAGAGCATTACTCGCACATTAACGACCGAATGGGAATTTTCTTTCATTATAACATTATTATCTTTGTTTTATTTTTTTCAATTGCTGACTGCTGATTTATTTAGTAGTATGGTTTGAGCCAATTCCCAGGTCAAGCAAAACAATTTTTTTTTGTGTTTTTTTTTAATAACAGTATGGAGTTCGCAATTGTACCCGAAGTCCGACTACAAGCTCAACTCCGGCGTTGCCTAATTTTTTTTTTTAAATAACGTTGCCCCACTTTAGGATTTTCTCCTGTGTTGTGGGTGCGTTTACAAACATATTATGTCAAATACACAAGACACCCAGACCCGAAACAACAATTTGTGGATCACACAAATTGTGCGGAATCCGTGCGGGAATCGAACCCGCGACACGTTGCACGGCAGCCAGTTGCCCAGCCACCGCACCAACCGTGCAGTCATTACATTTCCCTATCCTCTTCGGGAAATAAAGGCCATAAACATTTTTACTAAATCATCGGTAACGCTTAACTTAAGCGTTACCGATGATATGAGATGATAGCAAAAAAACCAAAATACGCATTCTAAAAAGCACATTTACGGACAATGCTAAATTTATACAAATCTGTGCCTCCATTTTACATTATCATTTTATCTGTCGTCCTTTAGTTGACCTTATGTAAGCCGGGCCTTGCCGTATCACTATGCTTAGTATACGAAGCGCCTAACCTTTATGTCCAGTCTCCACGGTCCGTTTTGCTTGTCCTTACATTGCTTTCGACATTAAAAACTATCTCACTCACCCAGACCTTGAATTGAAATTTTGACTCGAAGTCACGCAAAAAATATAAAAGTTTTCGAACCGTACGTCCTCTTTTTTTGTTTTATGCTTAACAGAAAACACCTAGTGTTATGGAATGCAATAAACATTTGAATTTGAACTTTTTGTTTTGCTGTTTTATTTATGTGGATGTTACGTGAGGTCGAAGTACCTGAATCACATTTCTTTGTTTTTGGGACTGTGTGATGAAGGATATGACTCTGCTAGTATCACAACAGTTTAAACTTTTTTGGTTTTGGTGGTACCTGTTGCTTACCATGAGTTTATCCATCTGTTCGTTAGCTGTTTCGTGCAATAAAACGGCGCTTATATAACTAAAAAAGATTTGGTAAACTTGGTTCAGGCGTTTTTGACTTGTGCGTTCACCAACACTTTTTGAGATTTATTTTTATATATAATATAAAGATGAAAATTATTATAACTACAATAAAAATACTAAGCCCTCAGGCTGTAAAATTCTAGTTACAGCACTTATCAATAATTTAAACCACTTTGCACTTAGCAAGCAAGTGAATAAATGTTTTGATACTACAATTAATGCATTTTTTACAAATCTTAGATGTCGGAAATCGTAAACTTCACAAAAAGTGTAATGTGGATTCACTCCCTCAATAAACTTTGGGAAAAAAAACGATAGCCCATGTAATGTTTCAACTTTAGTTACGTAACGATCTTTTAAGCTATACATAAGAGAGTCTTAAACAACATACAAGTAAACAGCCCCCATGAATATGTGTTAAACATGCTGTAAACCACACTACTTACTTTACTATCAGAAACTTAAAACTATCAAAGTAAGTACATGTTCACAAATCACGGCAGTATCAGTCAAGGAATAAGCATAAGTTCTACCCCAAGTGGTAGATGAGAAATTAAAGCGATTACTTTGATATATCGCTCTTAAACTTACCGATAAGTCACTCTCGGAGAGATCGGCTCCAAATGGCACTCGGTCTAAAGTTATCCATCGCCTCAAGATACGCCAGGGGCGGGGGGAGATCGGGCACGAAATGGCGCCAAAACATTTTGCAAACTTTATATCAATTATCTTTGTACCAATCTACGAACCCTTATTTTACTGAGCCTATTGTAATGGATTAATTAGCGATGATTTAATTTTGTTGTAATAATGTTTTTTCAGAATAGGTTTTAGTTCTTGGAATTTGCCGTTGTTTTTAAAGTAAATTAAGTACAAATCTCTAAGAGAATACGAAGTATTTTTTATAAACTAATAGATAAAAATTAATTATAAAGCAAAGGTCCTAATTGTTTCTTTAGTCAGTAAGAGTCTAACACTCCCTAGCCCATCCAAGGCAGGAGAAGTGATTTGATGATTTTACAGCTTTGATAACTTTTTTCAATTTCGTTGACACGAAAGCAAATATTATTATTCAAAAAAAGTAAGATTAAGAAATATTTTATTACTTCTGCTATTTTATGTAATATTAAATTTGAATAATATAACAGTATTTTTGTCCGAAATGAAATCATAAAGAACAGAAATCAGCTAACATAAAGAAACATTCCTTTGTTGAGGCTGACGCTACCTTACACTTAGCTTCATTTTATTATTCGTATAAAAAAGAAAAAGGACGAGACAGTACTTAGATAAATAAATAAAAAACAAACAAAAGGAACTAAATGAATTGAAAGTGGCCTTTACTTGTACGGCGTACAGAGACACATGTCGATACTGACTTATTCATTTGATTGATTACGGCGTAATGGCGAAGTAGGAATGTATGAAATTCGCTGAAACAAGTTCATATTTCGTCTGTCCTGTGTCACTTCTCAATGCCAGGATAAATTAAAAATGTGTGTTAACTAAAAAATTAAAACTTCTTACTAATATTGTAAATGTAGAAGTTTGTGAGTATGTCTGGATGTATATTTGTTATTCTTTCACGTGAAAACGACTGGACCGATTTGGTTGTTTGCTATGTAAAGGTGATACCCGTGAAAACATGTTAATATGATGTACGTGATGGTTTTTATCAACATACGCGGACCAACCTGCGGGCGGGAGCTAGTATAACATAAAGTTACGTTTCTTTCTCAGTTCCCCAGTAACACTGTGACTAATCTTAGCTAAGTTCTTTTTTTAATATTTATTTTAACAATTTACATGAATCAAAAAGACACCAAACTTATAATATTCAATATTAAAATTGTAGAACTATAAATCTGTAAATATTTACTTATCAACTTAAACCTTGTCTGATCCCGCAGACAAACTGTTTGTTATGACTTCGATCAACAAATTTAAAAATATATTTCATTTGTCTTGTGTTTTGGCCTTTTTTAGAGTCAATATGGAATATCTCAGTGTAACTA